GTAGTAATGCCGCAGCAGTTGCTGTCGCGTTTTTTCTACCCCAAATGTCCCGAGGTAATTCCGTCGTGTGCCTCCTGCAGTAGTAGCTCCCTCAGTAGTGAGTACGCGGGTACCCAGATGCGGCTGGTGCCTGTTTTTACGTAATAAACTCCTTTAACTTCTACCAGTTGCTGTGAATTTCCGGGCCAGAAAAACGGGTCGTTGCGGTATCCGTGGGTGAATAGTCATGTTAAAATCGGGTTGGTTTGGGCGAGTAGGATGGCATGGAGTTGGGCGGTAGGGCGAGAGAGTGCGTCGGCGATGTTGGAGGCGCCTTTCTTGTACGTAACCGTGTAGTGGAAGTTGGACTCCAAGTAGTCCAGCCAGCGGATCTGTCGCGGATTGAGATTTGGTTGGGCGCGTAGGTACTGTAGTGATCGATGGTGTGTCTGTACTGTCACGTCGGCGCCCGTCAGGTAATACCGCCAAACCTTGAACGCGTGCACGATCGCCAACATTTCGCGGTCGTGTATCGGGTAGTTGCGTTCGGGCGGGTGCAGCTTGCGGGACTCGTATGCGATTGGCTGGAGGCCGTTCCCGAAATCCTGCAACAGTACTGCTCCCACAGCGATGTCACTTGCTTCAGTGACAAGCTCGAATGGACGGTGTGGATCTGCGATGTGAAGCACGGGCGGTGAGCACAAAATGTTTTTGAGGGTCGAGAAGGCAGCTTGCTCTTTCTCTCCCCACGTGTACTCAACCCCCTTCCTCAGCAGGTCTGTCAGCGGGGCAGTCAGCTTCGCCATGTCAGGGACGAACCGGCGCACCTAGTTGACGAACCCCAAAAAACTCTGCAACTCGGTCAAGTTGGTCGGCGCGTGCCATGCTTGAATCGTCGCAGTTTTCTTCGGGCGGTCTTGCAAAAACTCACACTTGAACGCTTTTGTCAGTAGGCGGTGCTCACTCAGTATTTAAAAACTGCTTCGATGTCCTGTAAGTGCTGTGCTCTGTCAGGGCTGTGAATCAGTATGTCGTCCACGTATACGATGACGCACTTATCTAAGAGCGGGCGGAAAGCTTCGTTCATGGTCATTTGAAAAGTGGCGGGGGCGTTGGTCAGTCCGAAGGGCATGACGGTGTATTCGAAGGATCCGTAGCGTGTTCGAAATGCGGTCTTAGGGCAGTCGGGCGGATTGACGCGAATCTGGTGGTAACCCCCTTCGGAGGTCGATTTTCGAGAAAATCCGGGCTGTGCGCAGTTGGTCGATCAGTTCGTCGGCTCGCGGGATGGGGTAACGGGATTTGATGGTAACCCTGTTCAGTGCTCTATAATCTATGCACATGCGAAACCCCCCGTCTTTTTTCGGTGTGAACAGTATCGGTGCTGCGATGGGCGACGAACTAGGGCGAATGAATTCCTTCACGAGAAGGTAATCAAGCTGCTTCCTCAGTTCGTCCAGTTCGGGCTGGGTCAGTCGGAACTGTCGCTGTACTGTTGGCTGTGCTCCCGGTTCTAACTCTATCCTGTGGTCGTGCGGTCGCTGAGGTGGCAGTCCCGTCGGTAAATCGTCCAGGAAAATGTCACTGTACGGCTTCAACAGTGCTGCCAGGTCACTCGGTACGTCGGCCAGCAGTTTCTGTAAATCCCCTCCTTTGTCTGCTGCCTCGGCTTCCCAAATGTCGACCGCGTACACGTCAGCTCCTTCCGCTACGGCGCGTTTCATAGTGATCACGTTGACACGCACCGACGAAGGCTCAGGTGAGCCCCAGCGAGGTAAGGCGATATTGTTACTGTTCACTCGCACGATGCAGTCACCCGTCGTCCAGTCGATTCGCGGATTGTGTCGTCGCAACCAATCACGCCCGAGTAAAACATCGGTTCTGTCGAAGGTCGTTGCGAGCATTTCCTAGCTAAACGTGAAGTTTCCCCCACATCGAATCCGAACTCGGTCTACGCGTTCCCGTATCGCCAGCGGCGTGCCGTCTACCAGTCTTGCATTGATCTCAGGTAAGCATCTGTCCAGTGGCAGTCGCAGTTTTCGTGCTGTGGCAGTGTTGATGAGGCTGTGGCTGGCTCCCCCGTCTACAAAGATTTTAACTAAGTCTGTCCCGATTTTCCCACAAAGCAGTTTGGGGCTGTCTACCGTAGTCCCCTCCTTTTTCAGCCGAGTGTGATCGATTGCGTGAACCGGCACAATCACTCGGTGAGGGTCGGTTGTGAGAAAACTGAAACGAGAATGAATGCACTATGAAAGAGTTGGGTACAAGTACTAACCCTAATTGGGTTGTACCCCATATGGGCTACCCCACTACAGCCTACACAAAAGCATAAGCTATAATGTTCTGACACACCCCCATAGGCAAAGTGGGGGAGTACAAGGGGTCACAAGACCAGTCAAGCAGGGCAAAGCAAAGCAAGCTCAGGGTGGATCACAAAGTCACCACACATTCCGAGCACAAGGTCAAGGCCACAAGGCCAGTTCACATGCAGGAGTACATATATAAAGAAAGCTAGACAAGCAAGAGCAGTGTGTATATATATATGTAACAGTACAAGCAAGGTCAAGAGTTGAGCAAGTGAGGCAAGGCAGGCACAAGACCCAGCTGAGTACAGAAGCGCTGATGATCACAAGGCGCAAGCGCCTTGGTGAAGATATCAGCAGTGTTGGCCTCAGAGGCCACGTACGCAAGACGCTGCTGCAGCTCACGAGCAAGGAAGTAGCTGAGAGCAATGTGCTTTGTTCTGTGCTCCAGTCTTTGCTCTCAACACAAGGCCAGCATAGCCTTGTTGTCTACGTACAGCACTGGAGGAGAACGAGGCGGCTCTCCGAGGTCAATCAGCAGGTAGGTGAGCCAGCGAAGCTCCTGTGCAGCCATGGCCCCGGCGTAGATCTCAGCCTCACAACAGGAGCCGAGAACAGAAGACGAGCGAGTAGCCCGCCACGAAACAGAGCCGGAACCAAAGCTGAAGGTGTAACCCTGTGACGACCGCTGCGTAGCCTGGTCGTCAGCCCAAGAAGCGTCTGCGTGCCCAGTGAGGACCAATGGACTTTGCCCTCCAAGCACAAGCCCCATGCCCGATGTACTGCACAAGTAGCGCAACACCCTCTTCGCTGCAGCCATATGCTCCGGTCTGTGTCTCCCAGGAGCAACATAGCGTGCGAGAATTCTAAGAGGGTATGCAAGGTCAGGTCGAGTGCAGGTCATCAGGTACATGAGGCAGCCAACAAGCTCTGGGTACGGGCCACTCGACTCTACGGACTCATCCGAAGGCAGAGCTGAGAGCGAGAGGCGAGTAGGCAGAGGAGTGGCCTGAGGCGAGGAGTACGTGAAGCCGAAGCGCTGAAGGACCTGCTGCACCATGTGTGACTGAGTCAGGGTAATGGTGCGGCGTGCTCTGTCCCGAGTGATCTGCAAGCCAAGGTAGCTGCGCAGTTCACCCAGGTCTGTGCACGTGTGTCTCTTCTGCAGCTCGGACTTCACGTGGGCGAGTCCAGCAGTGTCAGCTGTGGCAAAGACCAAGTCGTCGATGTACACGAGGATGTAGAACGGCGGCAAAGAAGTGTCGGTGCGCAGAAACAGCGACGGGTCAGCAGTAGAGGGAGCAAAACCAAGAGCCGCAAGCGTAGTCCTCAGTGTGTCGTGCCACTCACCCGGTGCCTGGCGGAGACCGTAGACTGGCCGCCGGAGGCTCCACTGGGTGCTAGGAGGGAAAGTCCCAGTGAAGCCAAGTGGGCGGTGCAGCCAGATCTCCTCGTGCAGGCTGCCCTGCAAGAAAGCAGTGCTGAAGTCAAGAGAGTGCAGCTCGTAGTCGCGGTGAGCAGCTATGTGCAGCAGCAGTACCCAAAGAGTGGTCATCTTCGGGTGGGAGAGAAGGTCTGAAAGTAGTCAACTCCCTGCCGCTGACTGAAGCCACGAGCCACGTAACGCGCCTTGAAGACAAGCGGAGAACCCGGCGGCCGCTTCACCCTGAAAATACACATGCCACTGGCGATGTTCGCCCCAGGCGAAGGAACCTCGTCAACGTAGGTGCCTGTGGACTTCCAGGAAGCCATCTCTGCATCCATAGCTGCCTGCCACTGAGAGGAGTAGGGACCCTCTATCACCTCCGCGTAAGAGCGCGGAGTCGGGATGTCAACTGCATCCGGGTCTCCCTCAGGGGTAAAGCAGTACGGACACGAGATGAGGTGAAGCAGCAGCCAAACACTGGAACTCCTCCTGCCTGTCCTCAAGGACGTCCGTGCCAAGGGCACACACACCCTCGACGGACGGAGGACAGACAGACTCAGACTCAGCGATAAGACTAGCAGCGAGCAGCGAAGTCGACGAGCTCAGCAACTAGGGCAGACGCAGTAGTGGACTCAAAGGAAGGGCCAGTGACGACAGTAGCAAGGAGACGCGTGACTGTAGGACTGGCAGCACGAAGAGAGTCCAACTCCGGGTCGGCAAGAGCAGGAAGCGAGGACTCAGGAGGAGAAGGCAAAGGGGCACGCAGAGGAGCAGTGGACGGACGTAGAGACATCCGGTGCGTGCCAGGGACAGGAGGAGGACGCTGACGCGAACCACGACCACCAGTGCAAGCAGCACGGACAGGCGACGCAGGGCGAGACGCAGGCTCACGACGCTCAGCAAGACCTCCAGTAGGACCAGTGTAGGGAGAAGGAGCAGGCAGTGGGGAGGACGGCTGTAACTGTAACTGTGACAGGACAGGCTGTAGACACTCTAAGGGAGGAGGAGGACCAGTAGAAGGCGGGAGACTAAGAACCTGCTGAAGGAGCGGAACGAAGTACGGCCGAGGCCGCGCGGCGACTCCAGAAACAGCAGGGACAGCACCAGCACCCCCAGCGGCAGCACCAGCGCCAGGAGCACCTCCAGCTTCAGTACCCCCAGCAGCACCAGTAGTACCCCCAGCAGGACCGCCTCCAGGACCGAGAGCAGTAGCCTCAGCGCCAACACCCTCAGCAGCTCCAGCTCCAGTCGCACCCGCAGGCCCAGCAGCTCCACTACTCCCAGCACGAGCACCTCCGGGACCCGCCGGCACCAGCACTCTCAGCAGCCGGAGAACCCCCAGCTCCAGCAGCACGCCTCCAGCGCCGGGCAAACCACTCACGCAGCTCCTGTGGAGAGAGGGGCTCCCTTCAAGACGAAGCACCGGGAGAACTGCCAGGCCTAGCACCGCCGGACGCCACACGAGTAGGCCCAACTCCCTTAAGCTCCGCACCTCCAAGCACAGCACCCCCAGGCGTAGCACCCCTAGGCTCAGGACCCCCAGGCGTAGCACCCCCAGGCTAAGCACCCAAAGGCTCAGCACCCCCAGTCGCAGCACCCCCGGGCTCAGCACCCCAAGGCTCACCACCCCCAGTCGCAGCACCCCAGGCTCAGCACCCTCAGCAACACCAGAGTCACCAGTAACCTCGATAGGCTCGACTGCGTCTACCTGGGACACACCTGAAGGGGCAGGACCCTGAGGGGGGAGGGGGTCTACCGGGGGGGGACCTGGTACAAGGATGAGCGGTGGCGGGGGGAGGGACGGAGTGCGGTAGGGGAAGAGGCGGTAGTAGGGGACCGACTCGTCAAACGTGACGTCCTGGAGGACAGAACACGGCGAGAGGTGGGGTGGTAGAAATGCCACCCTGGCGCGTTAGGGGGGAAGCCAAGGAAGACGCAAGGAGCAGCACGAGGGGACAGCTTGTCTGCAGACAAGTTGCGAACAAACGCCCGAGATCCCCGGACACGGAACACAAACGCATCGCCAACCTTCCCCGTCCACAGCAAAGCTGGGGAGGTGTCCGGCATGGAGACCCTGGGGTGAAGGTTGATCTGATGCGCCGCGTACCGAAATGCAAACGGCCACAGAAAATGGGGGGCAGCCGCATGCATCATGGACGTACGAGCGACATCCATGACCATGCCAATGCGGCGCTCAGCAATCCCATTTTGCTGTGGAGAGTCCGGAAGCGTGAAGGTCTGGCGGATGCCTCGTGCACGACAGTAGGCTCGTAGAAGGCCAGAGAAGAACTCTCCGCCTCTGTCAGAGTGCGGACGCAAAACAGGAAAGTCCGAGCCGAAGCTGGAGACGAGCTGCGCGGATCCAGTCGATCAACACCCCAGTGACATCACCCTTGCTGCGCAAGGGGAAGACTGTGGTGTAACGCGAGTAGTCGTCAACCACCAGCAGGAAGTAGTGCTCGTGACCCTGTCCACGGACGCGGGCCGGGCCCCACACGTCCATGTGAAGCGTCTGCAGCGGGGCCTCTGTCGGAGGAAACTGGGAGGAGTGAGGGGCAGCCCGCTGCCGCCTCTCGACACAGGGGACGCAGGTAGGGCCAGGCCCAGGAGGAAGGGGAGGGAGGGACCGGGGAAGACCAGAGACAAGGACACGGGAGGCCATGCCTCGAGGACAAAGCAGGGAGGGGTGACCAAGGCGGTGGTGCCAGAGGAGAGTCTCGTTAGACAGGAGGCGACACGAGCAGGGGGCAGACTCAGGATCAGACCTGGATGCTGCAGCAAACACCTGACCCGACGCAGCTACCTAACCAGACGTAGTGACTGGAGGAGACGCAGTGGTCAGTGTGTACAGGCTCGACCCCGGCGGACGTGTAAACGTGGCCAGGTGTCAGCCTGTCCGAGCGTCCGTGCAGTGGGTCACCCGCTGACGCGCAGGAGTGAACTGGTGAACCCCCGCATCCTGTAGGTCAGCACCACTCACCAAGTTCGTAGAGAACGAGGGGAGGTAAAGACCAGACAGGGTGCCAGAGGGGGCCGCCGGACACGGGAGGACAGTGGAGTAGTTAGCAAGGACAGGACCCCCAGAGGGGTCTGCAAGAGAGGCTGCAACTGGCCGGCCAAGCGGCGTGAGTGTGGTGTGGTCTCAAAAGAAGGAGCGAGAAGCCCCCGAGTCAAGGGTGAAGGTGTGGGAGGCCGAAGCCGGCGCAGTACCTGAGAGAGCAGACTCACCAGCACTTGAGGGAGCAGACGCACGAGCACCTAGAGCAGCAGCCTTGCTAGCACCTAGAGCAGCAGCCTCACCAGTACCTAGACCGGCAGTCTCAATGCCCGGGTCGGGCGGAAAACATAGGTAACAGTCACCCTCATCACTAATAGTCACAGCATATATGGCAGCAAGAATAGCATCAAAGTCAAGGTCAAAGACAGCTACTCCCGCCCTAGATAGCTCACCCCAGCGGGGGATCTCCGTGGCCTCCGGGAACTGGTGACGCCAAGCGTCCGTCAGGCGGCCAAAGCAGCGCTGGGTGGAGTGCGCACCCCCGCACTGCTCACCCGCGCGGTCGCCGGTGCGTAGGACGTAGGTGCACGGACCAGTACCCCCACCCCGCTGGCGTGCAGCGTACCACTCACGGAGCTGCTGAGGGGAGGGGATGTCACGAGTGCGCTGCTGCTGCTGCTGCTGCTGGCGCTGACCACCACCTGAGCCGACCCTCTGCGCAGCGCCACCCCGACCAGCTCCACCTCCTCCGCCACCGCCATCTCCACCGCTGCCACCTCCGCCACCACCTCCGCTCCCACCGCCACCGCCGCCGCCTCCGCCTCCACTGCCGCCACCGACACCTCCACCCCCGCCACCACCCCCACCGCCACCGCCACTCCCTCCGCCGCCTCCACCGCCGCCTCCACCGCCCCCGCTAGCTCCTCCAGCGCCCCTGCCCCCCTTTCCCTTGCCAGGGCGGCGTCTCCCGCTAGGGGTAGACGCCGCACCGACCGACTCAAGCCCAACGAGGTCGGCCGCAGCAGCAGAGGCAACAGAGGGCAAAAGGGGGGAGGGGGGACACCCCTCAAAGATGGGGGTGCGAGGGTCACCACGAGAGGCTCCTACAGCGACTATGCTCTTCTCCGCTGCTAGGAGGGCCTTCTTGAGGAGGTCAACGGTGAGGGTGGTGGGGCAAACCGAGAGGAAGTGGTCCCTGACTACGCGAAGGGAGTCAGGGAGGCGGGTGACTATGTAGTAGAGAGTGATGTACATGGGGGGGGGGTTCTTGGCACAGAACTCAGCAGGAAGCGCAGCGCGGTAGCGAGTGTCACAAGTGCGAAGGTGTGTAATGAGGTCAGCGATTGTGGGAAACCCAGCAAGGTCAGGGAAGAGGTACGGTAGCATGAGGCGGCTCAGTGCAGCAGTGGCAGGGGAGGAGTAGCGTGCAACTACAGCGTCGTACAAGGTCTGAGCACTCTTGTACTGGCTAAAGTGCGCACGCTCAGAGGTAGGCAGGTGGCGACGCACAGCATGACGTGCAGCAGCATCGTGTGTGGCCCACTGTGAGCGAACAGTGGCGTTAGCATCAGCAGCAGGGGCAGGAGAGGCACCAGGGGTGAGGTCAAAGAGGGAGAGACCGTCTGCCCTATCGCACTGTAGGAAAAGCTGCAGGTCATCTATCCAGACATCAAAGTCAATGGCCCGACCCTCAGCGTCAAAAGCGAGGACACTAGGGGTAGCCATGACAGCAGTAGACTAGTAGCGCGAACAGTGGGGTAAGGGCAGTGCAGTGACAGAGGCGTTGCTCTTACCGGACAGGGCGGCTCGGGCGACTCGGCGGCTGGGCAGCTCGGCAGGAACTGCAGCTCGGCGGCTCGGCAGGAACTGTAGCTCGGCGGCTCGGCTACTCTACGGCTCGGGCGGCTCGGGCGGCTCGGGCGGCTCAGGCAACTCGGGTGGCTCTGGCGGCTCGGCGGGATGGCGGCTCGGGCGGCTCGGGCGGCTCGGGCGGCTCAGGCGGCTCGTCGGGACGGCAGCTCGGGCGGCTCAGGTGGCGCGGCGGCTCGGGTGGCGCAGGCGGCTCGGCAGTAGCTCGGCGGGGCCGCGTTAAGGCGGGGTCGGGGCCGGGAAGGGCGTGCGACGGGGCAAGCAGGGGCTGGGCCGGGGCCGGGAAGGGGCGGCGCCGGGGCCGTAAGGTAGGCGACGGGGCCAGCAGAGACTGGGCCGGGCCGGGAAGGGCGGCGTCGGGGCCGAGAAAGGGCGGCGACTGAGCAGGGAAGGGCAGCGACGGGGCCGCAGGGCTAGGCGACAGGGCCAGCAGGGGCGGGGCCGGGTCGCGAAGGGCGGCGTTGTCAAACATTATATATGTTGTGCTTGTTTAGGCTACAGTGGGTTAGCCTATAGGGGGTACACAATTCAAGGGTTAGGTACTTGTACTGATTTCACTGTTAGTTCAATCATTCCTGTTCATTCATTTTAACATGGTATAGAGCAGGTCCTTCCTAGGACCGATTTTTTTTAGGGCCCACCACTACCTACCTACCTACCTACCTACCTGCGCCCTAGGGCGCCTCTGTTTTCACGGCCCTCTAAAGGCCCCGCGACCCGCGACCCGCCCCTTAGCGACTCGCGCGCCGCCCCTTAAGGCCCCGTCGGCCCACGCGCTCGCCCCTTACGGCCCCGCGATCGCCCCTAATGGCCCCGTCGGCCCCGCGCTCACCTCCCTATAGGCCCCCGTCGGCCCCGCGCTCGCCCTTAGCGGCCCCGTACGGCCCCGCGCTCGCCCCTAGAGGCCTCGAATGGCCCCGCGCTCGCCCCTAGAGGCCCCGAACGGCCCCGCACTCGCCCTTAGCGGCCCCTTACGGCCTCGCGCTCGCCCCTAGAGGCCCTGATCGGCCCCGCGCTCGCCCTTAGCGGCCCCTTACGGCCCCGCTCTCGCCCCTAGAGGCCCCGAACGCCCCCCCCAGAACGAGCCGCCCGACCCGAGCAGCCCGAACCGAGCCACCCAGCCCGAACTGAGCCGCCCGAACCGAGCCGCCCGAACCGAGCCGCGCCGCCCTACCTGAACCGAGCCGCGCCGCCCGTACTGGAACGGGCCGCCCTACCTGAGTCGCACTGCCTACAGCTATGGCTAGCCCTCCTGTACTAGCTTTCGATGCTGAGGGCCGCCCAGTGAAGTTCGAAACCTGGCTAGATGACCTACACCTCTTCCTACAGCTCACTGCCAAGGAGGACATCTCACTGTACGATCACGCCCTAGGCCATGCTCCTGCTCCTGCTGCTACTGCTGACAGCAGTGCCCGCTCACAGTGGCAGACTCGTGACGCCCACGCTCGCTTCGCTATTCGCAACTCCTTGCCAATAGATGAGCGCGAGCACTTTGGGCAGCACAAGACTGCACAGGCACTGTACACTGCTGTCGTTGCCCGCTACTCCTCACCGGCCTCTACCGCACTAGGCCGTCTCTCTCTTCCCTACCTGTTCCCCGACTTAGCCTCTTTCCACACAGTCGCTGACCTCATTACGCACCTCCGCACTAGTGAGGCTCGCTTCCGCGCCGCCATGCCTGATGAGTTCCTTGCCAAGAACCCACCCCCACTCTGGCTCACTCTCTACCACCTAGTCACCCGCCTCCCTGACACTCTGCGCTCAGTCAGGGACCACTTCCTAGCTCGCTGCCCCACTGAGCTCACCATTGCCCTCCTCGAGAAGGAACTCCTTGCAGCTGAGGCTAGCATAGTCGCTGTAGGTGCCTCTCGTGGCGACCCCCGTACCCCGTTCTTTAAGGGGTGTTCTCCTTCCCCCCTTCTTCCCTCTATCGCCTCTGCTACTGCTGTCGACCTCCTTGGTGCTGAGAAGGTCGGGACTGCGTCAGCTTCGAGCGGGCGCCGCAGCGGCAAGGGCAAAGGGGGCAAGGGCGGTGGCGGTGACAGCGGGGGAGGCGGTGGTGGGGGCGGTGGCGGCGGTGGGGGTGGTGGCGCGACTGGAGGGGCTAGTGGCAGCGGTGGGGGTGGTGGCGGCAGCGGCGGGGGAGGTGGCAGGGGCGGAGGCGGTGGTGGGGGTGGCGATGGACACGGCGGCGGCAGGGGTTGGGGGTGGTCGAGGAGGTGGTGGCGGCGGTGGTGGTCGTGGAGGCGCTGGCGGTGGCCAGAGCCAGCAACACACTCCGTCGCCCCAGGAGGTCCGTAAGTGGTACTCTCAGCACAAGGGGGGGGGGTGGCTTTAGCTGCACGTACGTCATTCGCACTGGTGACCGCACTGGTCAGCCGTGTGGGGGACCGCATGCCACACAGCGCTGCTTCGCTCGTCTCAACGACGCTTGGCGTGTTCAGTTCCCTCAGGCCACTGAGCTGCCCCGCTGGGTTGATCTCCTGAAGAAGGGGATTGATATCTATGCTCTAGACTTTGATGCTATTCTCACTGCTATGTATGTGATGTCTACTAGTGGAGAGGGTGCTGAGTAGCTGTGTGTGCCGCCCGACCCGGGCATTAGGACTAGTGCGTTTGCCGCTCCAGGTACTCGCGTGTCTGCTACCCCAAGTGCTGGTGAGGCTGCTGCTCTAGGTGCTTGTGCGTCTGCCCCCCCTGGTACTGAGTCGACGGCAGCACTGCACACCTTCACACTGGACTCAGGTGCTTCTCGCTGCTTCTTTCGTGACCACACTGCCCTTGAGCCGCTTGCTCGGCCAGTTGCTGTCTCCCTCGCTGACCCCTCTGGGGGTCCGGTCATTGCGACCTCCTCCACTGTCCTTCCCTGTCCTGCGGTCCCGTCGGGCACACTGTCAAGTCTCCACCTCCCCTCGTTCTCTACGAACTTGGTGGTAAGTAGTGCACTCCAGAACGGGGGTGTTCACCAGTTCACCCCTGCCTACGAGCGCGTGACACACTGCACGTGTGCTCGTACGGGCCGCCACTTGGCTACCTTCATTCGGTAGCCGGGGTCGGACCTGTACACACTGACCACTGAGTCCCCTCAGGTCGCTGCGTCTGCGTCTGCGTCCGCGTCAGGTCAGCTGTCTGCCCCCTGCTCGTGTCGCTCTCTGGCGCACGAGACTGTCCTCTGGCACCACCGACTTGGCCACCCGTCTGTGCAGCGCCTTCGTGCCATGCACTCCCGGTACCTTGTCTCCGGTCTTCCCAGAGTCCTCCCTCCCCTCCCACCCTCTCCTGCTCCTCCCTGTCTTCCCTGCGTCGAGGGGCGGCAGCGCGCCGCTCCTCACTCCTCCTCGTTTCCCCCGACGACTGCTCCCTTGCAGACGCTCCACATGGACGTGTGGGGCCCAGCCCGCGTCCGTGGTCAGGGTCAGGAGAGGTACTTCCTGATAGTTGTTGACGACTACTCGCGCTACACCACGGTCTTCCCCTTGCGCACCAAGGGTGAGGTCCCTGATGTCTTGATCCCTTGGATCCGCAGAGCCTGTCTCCAGCTCAGCGAGCGTTTCCACTCGGACTTTCCTGTCCTGCGCTTGCACTCTGACAGAGGTGGTGAGTTCTCCTCCGACCTCTTGGCAGCCTACTGTGCTGAGCACGGCATTGAGAAGTCGTTCACGCTTCCGGCCTCTCCAAAGCAGAATGGGATTGCAGAGCGCCGCATTGGCCTGGTCATGGAGGTCGCCCGTACCTCCTTGATCCATGCGGCTGCCCCCCACTTTCTGTGGCCGTTTGCGGTCCGGTACGCTGCGCATCAGCTCAACCTCTGGCCCCGTGTCTCCTTGCCGGAGACCTCACCCACCCTGCTGTGGACGGGGGAGGTTGGCGATGCGTCGCGTTTCCGGGTCTGGGGATCTCGAGCTTTTGTCCGCGATACATCTGCGGACAAGCTCTCCTCCCGTGTTGTTCCCTGCGTCTTCCTCGGCTTTGTCCCGGACGCGCCTGGTTGGCAGTTTTACCACGCCACCTCGCGCCGAGTCTTGCCCTCTCAGGACGTCACTTTTGACGAGTCCGTCCCCTACTACCGCCTCTTCCCCTACCGCACTGCCCCGCTCCCCCCCCGCCTCTCTTCCTCGCGCCAGGTGCTGCTGTCGTAGACCCCCTCCCCCCTCAGGGTGCCGCTCCCTCAGGTGTGTCTCAAGTAGACCCAGTTGAGCCTGTTGAGGTAGCTGTCGACTCTCGTCCTGCTCTGGGTGCGGAGCCTGGGGGTGCTGAGCCTGGGGGTGCGGAGCCTGGGGGTGCTGAGCCTGGGGGTGCGGAGCCTGGGGGTGCGGAGCCTGGGGGTGCTGAGCCTTGGGGTGCGGAGCATGGGGGTGCGGAGCCTGGGGGTGCTGAGCCTTGGGGTGCGGAGCCTGGGGGTGCTGAGCCTGGGAGTACTGAACCTGGGGGTGCTGAGCCGCAGAGTCCGGGGTCTGGGGGTTCTAAGTCTAGAGGTCCTGAGCGTGAGGGTCCTACACCTGGCGGAGCCCTCTTCTCGGAGCAGCTACGTGAGTGGTACTTCCAGTACTGCAGCCTCAGGAGAGGTACCTCTGGAGCCAGACGTACTACAGGGACTGGTGCTAGTGCTTCTCCTCCTAGCCGGGAGCTCCCCTCCCGTGAGCGGATCCGTGAGTGGTACGAGCGGCGCTGCACTCTTCGGAGTGGCGCACCTGGTGTCGCGGACCACGCTGCTGCTGGTGGTGCTATTGGTGCTGGAGACTCTACTGGTTCTGCTGGTGCTGCAGCCACAGAGGTTGGAGCTGTTTTTGGTGCTGCGGACCCGGGCGTTGGAGCTACGGCTGGTGCTGCGGACCCGGGCGCTGGTGCTGCTACTG